TGCCGTATGAACATGATAAAGAAAAATAAGATTTTTTCAAAATAACATGGAGTAGGAGTATAAATGAAGAATGTAATTCAAATAGAGTAGCTTCTATGAATATGACCTTCTACTGTAATTTGTGTGCATGTTAAATCATTAATTAGATGACTGCATACCATAATATGATTGCACACATATTTTATGTTCAGTTCAGTTAAACTATCTCATAACCTGAGTGTAAATTGGCATAGAGACAATTTGTTTCCCTTAATTGTAATCACTATCATTATACTATGAATTCAGTTCATATAATATCTTCTGTTTCTTATGCAATACTTAGTATTTTCAAATTTCAGATTATGTTTCTATTTGCCCAGACCTTCTCTTTTATTATAAAAATGCTTTCCTTTTATGAACTAGTCCAAGTTCCATGCTGACAGTTCTTTATTTTTTCCTAGAGAATGCCTACTCATCATTTTGTAATTCTGCAGCAGTAAGAATAATTCTGAATTTGAACCTACAATTGTAATAGATTGCATTTTTTTCTTGCATACCTTGTAGAATGCAAGACCAGCTGTATTTTTAAACATTCTGTCTTTTCATATATATCAATTTCCTTGTAGTAACATACTCACAGCATGCCTGCAATTTTCAATCTCAAGAATTGTTTTCTTACCATGTGTGTAAAGTTTTATATTGTCAGTTTGTAACTGGTAACCACACTATTATTCTTGGAATTTCAGGAAGTAGTTTTGTTAAGAATCACTTGGCATGTATTTGATAGTTGAAGTGTTCCAAGGTCATGTGATCACCTTTTCTGACCTTCTGAATAGCAAAGTCAATGGGAAAGCCTGATTCACTTAACAATCATGTTAGTAACATAACAACCACAGTGATTCAATTAACAACTGTGGCAAGAAAGGTTGTAAAATTCACTTAACAAATTCTCACTTAGCAACAGAAATTTTGGGCTTAATTGTGGTCGTTAGTCAAGGACTATCTGTACATTGCAAGCATATTCTATCAATGGATAATCTTCTGTTTTCATACATAATTTCAAACTTCTATTAAAGTGTGACACCTTGAAGCTTTACATTCTAGCAAGCATTAGTGTTAGTTCAGTTTCAATGTCTGATAATCAGTTCTAGATGGACAAGCCAACTGGTGGTTTTGAACTGACCTTATAGATAGATATGGGCCTATGTTTCAAATTGAAAACATCACTAAAACACTGAAATTCTTCATCCTTAAATTTCCTTATATTTAAGCCACAAGCATTTATCTTGCTTGTTTTTAACTTTTTATATGGAACGATTTCACAGTTGAAGAAATAGATTAATAAACACAAAAAACACTAGCAAGATTGTTATATTTTATCCTGCTAAACAATTTATTTTAATACAAAAATTCCCTCATCAATACTCTTAATGCTTCTGATGTGCATCTGATATAGCCAAATTTAAGTAATTTCTGATATTAAGTTTATATTATATCCATTTCCAAATCTCAAAACAGAATTGGAAAAAATATGATCATAACAGAAATAGAAATAAAGAAGACTATGTATTACACAATTGTAGATTCTTTAATATATTCTTAAACTTGAATGAGATGTGAAACTGACATATAAAAATGGTACTGTTTGCCCTGATCATAACTTTTGCTAATCATTTCTATATGTATAGTCTATGGGCATAATACAGAAAGAAACCTTTTTTCTGGACAATGAGCAGAAAAAATATGGAGATCATGCATTCAGGCCTTCACTATTTTAGAATCTGAAAAATGTAGCATCCCTAAAAGAAGGCAATTCACTGAGCATGTATTTATCACAAACAAAAGAATTGTGCTTCATGACTAGAAAGTCCTCTTCTGTAGCCAAAACCTCTTATTGTTTACTGTATAAGTGTATCTTATACCTTACACCTCGCTAAATACAATTCTTTAAAGTGCATGTTGATTTTTATACTCTGAAACAATGAATAACAAATATGCTCCATTTGTTCAATTATATCTTTCATGTGGGTCAGGCCTAGACTTTTGCTAATAGGTATTTGAAAATAAGCTTGAAAGGACCCAACAGCTCAAAGAAAGGATTCATGAATACAATTGCAACAGTAATAATGGCCTTGTATTGTCACCATTACCAGTGCCTTGTGATCTGCTGCTTTCTCAAGTGATGTACCAAACTTAGCAGTAAGAACATGGTGCCATTTTGTTTCTCTTTTCTTCACTTTGGTTCACCCTGCTCCATCTCCCCCACAAATAACTATCCTTTTAAAAAAATAAGCAGTACTGTGGATATGTTTCATTGAACAATGGGTAAGCATGTTCCCAATGCTGGAAAGGAAGCACGGATGCTCCATGATCATATTAATTTGTGTGAATGCTTTAACCATGCACAATGCAACAATACATATTGTGCTATTAAACTGCAAATTGCGGTACAAAGTGAGAACTTCTATTTCTTTTTAATGTTTAATTTCCTTTCTGCCTCATTTTCAATTAGATGCTCTGTTTGTATGCAGGATGCCACATATTACCAAGCCCCTCAAATCCCATGTCTCCAATTTAAGGAAAGGTAGTCCTTGGAGGTGTTCCCCACTAATGTGCCTTAAACATCAAGTTGTTTATTGAGCTACACTGATTTTCATGTATATGCAGGCAATTCAAATGGTAATCTGGCCATAGGGAAATCCTAATTCCTTTAAACTACAAAAGAGCAGCTATTTGTTTTCATTCCAGTTCTTTATTGCATTGGGAAGCAAGATCATTACTGATCACAAAGACATGCTTTGTTCAGAAAAAAAAAATGCAGGCATGCCAGTCAGCATGCCTCTATTCTGTGCTAAGCTTCCTGGAATGTTTGGTAGCCATTCGGTTTAAAAAATTGAAAATGAAATGCTAACAGCTGGGAATTAGCTGTTAAACAGTATTAAAATAAACTGATGCGTTTGAAGTCTGGGCAGAATTCCAGTCTTACACTTTGCCAGCCACCATGACTATAGTCAGTGCGTCCAAGTTCCACTGATGCATGCATTGTACAGTATTTTGTGCATTCTGTTATTTGGTTTATGAAGTGTCTCCAATTGCAAATTGTACATACATACATACATACATACATACATACATACATACATACCTATCTATCTATCTATCTATCTATCTATCTATCTATCTATCTATCTATCTATATATATATATATATATCTTTTTATTTAGGTTATAATTATCAGTTTTACCAGCCTTTATCAGAAATAAAATACAATACAACAATTCTCAGGTTTATTTATAAATTTATGCCAAAATTTTAAGAGTCAGATGTTATTTTTTGTTTTACTGGTGTTTTATTCTGTGCAGTTTTATTTTTCTTTATGTGTACCACCATACTGATCAAAATGGTTCCTTTTCTTAGCAGATATATTTTGTATCCAATTGATTCCATCTTTGCTTTTCTATCAATTCTTTATTTTATGTGATTGCTACCAATAGATTCACAGCAGCACAGGTGCACTGATGATATTAAATCATGAAACATGTATTTTTAAAAATAAAATTGGATCTGAAATATCCAAAACATGATAATATATTTTGTGTGAATATCTCTGCATTTTGCAGAATTTATAACCCACAATTAACTAGCTGATTTTATATAATGTTGGGAATTATAAACTTATAGAAATGGAGAAGTACAGTCATATACTATTGCCATACTAGATAATTTGTGCAAATAACAGAAGCCCAAGCCAAGCTATTGTGATATCTACAACATTGTAACAATTGTTTTATTATCAAAAACTTTTATGTTGCAAAAGCAGCAGTGTAATAATTACAAGCACGTAGAATAAATAGATGAAAATCATAAGGCTACTTTTACAGTGTATTCTGTCAAAAGCATTGGAAAAATTTGTACAAGAGCAGATAATCCATTAAAACAACTATAAACCAGCAGTGTGCTACTAAGGTTCGTGCGGCCAACTGATAAATTATAATCTATGTCACATAGATTTATAAAAGAAAGACATATGGAGAAAATGTGAAGAATTGCTGTGGTATTTTTTTCACTGATGTTTTATATGATGGTTAATGACAGATCAGAGATCAAAGTTTTATTTAGGCACAGACTAGCTTTTAGAATGAAATATTACATGAATTCTAGAGAAGAGTACTTTTTATATTGTGTTACTAATCAAAGGCAACTTTCCTTTATACCAGGATGTAAAACACAGGATAGACTGTCTACTATTGACCTCACCCCTTTCCTAAGAGGTCTGTAGGGGGCGTGCATAAGCGCACCAACGTGCCTACCGTCCCTGTCCTATTGTTTCTCTTATTCTTTTATTTTTCTTATATGTACCCATTTCATATATTCACAACTATGTATACACTTGTACTTATTATTTTGTAAACAATTGACAAATCAAATAAATAAATAAATAAATAAATAAAATAAATATCTACTCCTAAAAACAGCTTTCAATGAAAGTGGTGAAAGCCAGCACATTTTCAATTTTTCAGTACTGAAATAGATAGCTATGTGGAAATCCTACATAATCCATTATGCTAGCTAACAAAACATAACAAAAACAATGTCAGACTGCTAGCCTATTTTGCAGCCAAGTTTCATATAGTATTTTTTCTTCTCCTTTTTTATAACATTAATATTAGGTATTCTATTATTGGCTAAAAATTAGAAAAAAGCCAGTGAACATTAACTCATTTAGCTAGAGATTTAAGAGTCCAAGCAGTAAAAGCAAATTTTCTCTAATGTTATCTTCTGAATCTAAACAGAAAATTTAGTAAATGTGAAATGAAATTCTTCCCCTTCCTGTCTGGGACAAGCTATTTACAAAGGCTATTTACATTATATACTTGCTTTCTTTTTTATTTTTAAAAAGTATATTTCTTTATAAAGATGTAAATGAAAATATTATGTTGAAGAAATAAGTTCAATAAACAATATTCTGTTTCAGAAAGACTCACACTTTTTAAGTTCAGTACTGAGAATTCTAACATACCAATTGTGCAGTGCTCGCCATTCCAGCCTTGGCTGCATTCACACTTCCCATCTTTACAAGTTCCATGTTCAGCACACCGAGGATGGCATGCTCTTTGATTACAAGATGCTCCAGCCCAACCTTCTTCACATCGACATGTTCCACCCATGCAGACACCGTGAGCACCGCAGTCAACGGAGCAGATTTCTGAGACAGGAATAAAGAATGTGGTAGATGAAAAGAGAAGGAAGAAGGAAAAAAACACAATAATTAGTTAAACTCCAACATCCAGCTATATGAATTCTTTGAAAGTTAAATTAAGCAATTTATTTCAAGTGATTCAAGTATGATATTTTTCCTAACACATGATTATTTATTCAGCAAATCTAGTGATATCTCTCTCTACTGATTTCTTCAGTTAGCTTAGAGTTCTTTGCAATATGTGACCATTTTTAAAAAAATCACATATAATTAGGAGTCTGAAATTATACACTTGTAGTGTTTTAACTTTGAAGTATTTTAAAAAACATATCTTTGCATTATAATCCCATTTTTCAGAATATATAACACTGTTGTAGATTAGTTTTTGTAGATTGTTTTCAGTAAACAGTTCTCCTTAGAGCTGATCGGATCATCCAGTGTTACATATTCTGAAAAATGGGATTATAATGCAAAGATGTTTTTAAAATACTTCAAAGTTAAAACACTACAATGTTAATATTCGACTTTAAATACAATACAATTTCAATTCATCAGATTTTAGAATCATACAAATCTTTTGCTTAAATTCAGCTGACTCAGGCACTTTTGAGAGTATCAATATCAATGGTAAATTCCACAGTCATTTTTCTTCAGATAAGGTGGCTTCCTGACTCTCGTGTTATTTTTAAAAAGAACAATGGTTGTATTTTTTTAAGTAAATGCATGGCATTTAGAATCTCAAAAATGTTAAGTATGAAGGCTTTGTATAAGCAATATACAGAGTGGCAAAATAATGTTTCAGAGATGTATCTTCTGGTCATTTAAAAAAACCACTAACATCCTATACTGTATCATTGTGGCAAGACTGTGTTTTTCTATGGGGGTGGCTATCTGAGATTGGCATGAATACAGCAAACTTTCTCTTGATTACAGTTGTTAAGTTGTGGTTTTTCTTGGCATTTTTGTATGCTGAAATTTCATTTATTTTAGGCCTTATTACAATTACTGATCAATAGAACCATTTTGAATAATGAAGTCGTAGTCGTACAATGTTAATGATCTTTCTATTGTGTATGATAAATATTTGTCATTTGAAAATTTGCTTTTGAGGACAAACAATTTTATGTCTTAAGTGGAAAGAAAAGAAGCCTATGCAAGGATGATTAACTTAAATTTCACTATGAATCAGGAAAATACAACTAACTGCTTTAACAATAAAGGGTACATAATTATATTACTCTGTAAAACATAAAAAGTGCTTGGTTTTTCCTTTTTCTTTTGTTTCCATGAAAAATACAATCTAACATAACTGAAGGACACAGTTGAAGTCTCCTGGAACAATTTCCTGTTTATAAACCAGAACACTAATCCCAAAAAGAAATTATTTGTGATTGATATTGAGGTGTAAAAAAATATAAAAGTCTGAAAAAGATTCATTCACCTTGACTACTTTATCTATTTCAAAGAACTATAGAACATCAAAGTACAATTAAGTATGTTGACAGTATATGTGTCAGAATGAATATTGACCTGCAAAGATTTCCTCCTATCATGTTTTATGTTATGAATTGGATTTTTTTTATTATAAGATGTTTGGATAGATTACCCTCATTTTCCAAAGACTTGCCTTTTCTCCTCAGTCTAATCAATTTTTCATTAAAGAGAAGGTGTTTATCAGCTTTTAGCAGATCTGCTTTAAAGCAAGGTGTGCCAGTCTCTGTAATGAGCTTATTAATTAGGGTTAATTTAGAAAAAACTGGAATTGGAGAGCTAATTAATGGACAACTACTAAGAAAAAGAGACCAAAACAGCTTATAGTTTTTGCTTTGGAGATAACAATTTTTCTAAACTGAAACATCTTCATTTGATTGGATGCAACTAATTTCAAATATAACATATTCACAACATTCCATTAATTTCAAAAGTAGTTTAGTTTCCTAGTTGATGAAATATGATCAAATACTAGTTTCCAAGTTAATTTTTAGATTAAGAATGCTTGGGATAAAACTGAGGTTTGATTAAATTTGAAACAAAAATACAAGTAGGTATTGCGTCCCTACTGTTAACAGGGAATGCTATAAGTGAAATGGATATGACTAAGACTGGTAACCTAAACTATTTTTTATCTTTCTAAAAAAAAAAAAAAAAGTAAAATCCTTGATAAATTTAAGTCATGACAGGTGGCAAGATCAATATTTATTGACCCATCTGGTAATGACTATGGAATATGAAAATTTTTGACTTGGAATGCCATGAATGTAAAATTTTAAAGGGCATACATTAACAAGTCACTATCAATGAAAAGAAAATATGTATCTGTGACACTACGAAAAAAGAGAAAAGATATAATAGATCTGAATGAAGGTGATCTGATCATGTGGAGTAGAACTGATGAACACATACATGGAAAGTTGAATCAAGATCATATGGTGCCTTCTGTGCTTACTGTTTTCTTTCAGAACTTCCCGAAACAAAGCATTTAGTCAAAACATATATTCATATTTCTACAGTTCCCATATATTTTCTGACAGCCTAAATATCCCTCAAGTTGTCTTTGAAATATATAAAATTAGGTTTTCATAGGCTTTTGTTTGAATTTCTGCCAATTTTATCATACGAAAGGGAACCTAGAAAATTTTCTTCAGTTCCTGCACATTGACTTTAGTTGGTGGCACTGACAAGGAGAATAGCTTATGCTAAGATAACACCAATTCAGTTGATGCTATTGATGATTTAGCATATATACAAAATACTGTTAATAGTTAAATATTTTAAACATTTGGCCATTGATACAATACTATTTTGGCAGCTGTACTCACAGCAATTTTCAGATGATCTGAAATGGGCGTACTAGAGATTGTATATTACAAGTTAAAACTAACAACTAATGCTAACTGTAAATAAGTTAACTATAGTTGTTGATACAAGAAACTGTGTTTATGGAAAATAAAAACTTTCTTATAAGTCTTGCCAATGTTGACATTGATGGTAAGCTTTAGTGGAATTTATAAATTAATCAGTTTATGATGGTAAGCTTTAGTGGAATTTATAAATTAATCAAATCAGCAGAATCTTGGAAGTTTTTAATATTATTAGCACAAAATAATTTCCCCCAAATTCTTACCATTAGAGCAATCAGGACCAGTCCAATTAGGATCACAATTACAAGTGCCACTTTCTTGCAGGTACGTGCCATGGCCAGAGCATTGGTCTGGACACATTGTCTTCAGTATTTCACAGTTGTTACCGCCCCAACCTGGATTACAATGACATTCTCCATGGATACATACACCATGATTTGAACAGACTGGATCTAAACAATCAGCTGAAAAAAAAAAAGTTTGGCATCTGTAAGTTTCACTATTTTTTGCCAGGCTATATTCCTCATATTACACATAGAATAGACTAAAAAAATGAATAATGAATCTTATTAGGTACTGAAAAATGAAAAAGGGAACCCAAATTCATCCTCAGAGATAACATCAGGGTAACATAATGCAAAGCTATATGTTCTAAGAACTAGGAGGCCTGGAAAAAGACAAATGTATCTCTGTCATGGAACATATAACAGGACAGAGAGTTACATAGGCAAGATGGTCAATAAATAAAACCTTTAAATAAATAAAACAGAAACAGTAGGTAATAGTATTAAATTAAACTTGTCCTCCCTAATTCTCTTTCATGTCCCCATTACATGTTTAATTTCCTGATATCCATAAAAATCTATGCCTAAAGAGTGAAGTACAATTTAGATAGTAGCTGATTCTGATTTTTTTGTGCTAAAACTCATCTACAGAGGGAAAGCATCTTCCAGTTGAATAATTCTTCGATGATAGAAAGGCTCAGGAGAAATACATTTAAGAAAGAAAATGGATGTAAAGAAAGGAAGGCTTTAAAAACTCTCCATACATAAAGCGATACAAAGTCAGATTTGTAAAGAACATATTTATTTTGGAATTAAAAATTGGCCAGTACAGGTAATCTTTGTTTAGCGACTACAACTGGGACATAAAATGAATGCCTAAGCAAATTGACCATGACTGTGCTTACTGGTCTGAAACTAAATATCCTGCTTTAGATATGTATTTCCTATTGTGTACCTGCTTAGTGTCTGTAATGGTGATCATGTTACTGAGGGACCTCACTGTCATATCTTTGGATAGTTACTAAATAACTACCAAGTACTACCTGTAAAGGTAGCTTGATACTAATTATCATTCTTTTCTGATATCACTGATTTCTAATAAAAAGGATTGTTACTGTAAGTTTCAATTTCTGCAATTTTACCTTCGCAAATTAAATAAATGTATATTTAACAATGTTCTAAATTGGTGTGTTTCATCAGTGTTATATTTTCTATCATTTGGGGAGGTGAGATGCTCATGAACTAAGGAAAATGATTGCTAAAGTACGCATTATGTAATTTAGAAACAAAAACAGCTCATCTTATAAAATGTGCAAAAACAAATAGGATAGCAAATCCCTGTCCATATTAGTACTGTGGTTAATAACCATTGGTTATGTCCATCTGACCTTTCACCTTATATTAATCTGGCAAGTAAAACATTAAGCACCCTAAGTTATATCAAAAGAACCACTTTTTGAATTATTATCAGATTTGCTTTATCGTTTTAGTTATATTAATTAACCAGCCATTTTTGCTTATCATGACACTTTTACAGTTCTGAGTTAACTGATATCAGTTATGCACCCCAGCAAAGCCCTGTCAGGAATGTTTTAGAATTGAATCTGCAAAAATATTTATTTCGTGTATTTTATTTATTTGCTAATCAGAGGTATGTATGTATGTATGTATGTATGTATGCATGCATGCAATGTATCTATCTATCTATCTATCTATCTATCTATCTATCTATCTATCTATCTATCTATCTATCTATCTATCTGAAATATTGTCTACATTAAATTAAAAATAATGAAAAACACATAACTATATAGGAAATTTAAAAAAAATTGTTTGAGTACAGAACTGTTAATACACTACATATAAGTGATGCTGCAGCTGCCCTCTTGTAGTGCCTGGAAGCTGTGGAGGCCTGGATGGGGGACAACAGGCTGACTGAACCCTGGTAAGACCAAATAGCTTTGGGTACGTGGGGCTCCAGGATCTGGGGCTTTGTCATCTTTGACTCTGGATGGGTAGCACTGCCAAGAAAGACTCAGTCTGCAATTTGGAGGTTCTCCTGGACTTGCGACTCCTGTTTGAGGAACAGGTGGCAGTTGTGGCTAGGGGAGCCTTTGCACAACTTTGTGTTGTATGCCAGTTGCAGCTTCCTGGATCAGGATTCCCTGCATTCAGTCATTCAGTGCCTAGTCATCTCATGTCTGAACTATTGTAATGGGCTCTAAGAGCATTCCGAAGCTACAGCTGGTATAGACTGCAGCAGCATGGGTAGTTTGGACCCAAGAATAGCCCCTGTAACACCACAGCTCTGTGAGTTGCATTGGTTACCAGGTACACTGCTTCCAGGAGCAATTCAATGTGTTGCTATCATCTTTAAAGCCCTTCATGGCATGAGTCCAGGTTACTTGAGGGACTGTCTCACCCCGCTGGCATTGGCCCATACCACTTGTGCCGGCAGAGGAAGCATGTTTAAGGTTCTGTCAAACTGATTATTCTGGCTGGCAGGGTCCTGAAGGAGGGTTTTCTCTGCTGTTGCTCCTGCCCTCTAGAACATCTTGCAACCTCTACAACCTCTGCTTACCTGTCAACCCTTTTGCAGATAGGCATGTCATGAAGGCTGTAGGTAGTTGTAGGCAACTCTTAATCAGCCTTAAGACTACATAGTACTGAGTGGTAAATTTACATTCTGCACCTGCAATATCTGAAGCAACAAATATGGCAAGGCTCTGAAGCAGATATTAGAGTGAATCACAGTGTGTAACACACTCAGTTCCTTTTTCACTGCTTGGGATTAGGCAGCACAAATATTTTAGGATGCTCTGAGACCATACTGGGCAATTTTCTGAGTCCTTGGATGGTGCAGAGAAGACAATGTCCACCTCCCATAAAATATCTAATAGATTCTGGGAACAAGGAAAAATGAGCCTGACAGTTACCAAAAGGATTCCTGAGAGGGGAAAATATGAGAAATGACTAATTTATTCTGTGTTAATTATGCTAGACATAGGTTGAGGTAGAAAACTATTTTGGTAGGCTTTCAAGTTCTTTTATAATTCCATACTAGCAATAAAGGTATTTCTGGAAATTCAAGTGGTTCTTTTTTGCTGAATTTGCCTTGAAGAGCTTGATAACATCAAAAGAGAGAACCTTGTTTCTGCAATATTGATTTTGAATTTTTAAAAAAGGGCACTTTAAAGCTATTATGCTGAAAACTAGATAACTTGTGACATGTCCCAATGAGTAATTTTCCAGCTGAAGGAAATATATGAATAAGTGTATAGACAAGTTAAATGCAATATAACACATAAAAACAGAAAATACTGTCAAACTCAGTGCTGTGTCACTTTGGAAATAAATCAAAAGGTGGTAGGCTGCGCCTAGTTACATGGTATGATTCTATGAACTTCAGAAGATTCTGAACAGGAATCTGCACTGACTCATAATCTATCAAATAATCAGAAAACCCTACTTATTTTTTACAATTCCCAAATACTGAATTAATACCTGTTACATCTTCCATTTATATTTTTCTTCAGTTTTCTAACAAGATTAAATTTCAGTTTTGGACACACCAGTTTTTACTTTTAGACCCCAGTTGTGGCATGCTATTTTTAATACCCTCTTATCCATTGCTTATTCTTTAAGCATCTCTGAATATGAAGAGAACAATGCAATTATTTAATTTATACTGTTTATTACAAATGTTTTGTTAGATATTTATTTTGTCTGTTGTGTAAATTAATATTCTTCATGGAATGGAGGAAGGTTGCTTGTTGCTTTCCTTTTCCAAATAACACAATACTTCTTTGCCAATGTTATGGAGAATTTGGCTATGTGTAGGCAAAAAGAAAAAAGAAAGAAAAAAGAAAGAAAGAAATATAAAAATACAAGAGAAATTAATCCAACCTAGAAATGTACTTGTCCGATCCAAAAAAGCAGGCAGGCTACAGGTTGACCCACAGCCTATTTAGGAAATAAATGAGTTGCACAGCTCTATCTTTCTTAATTCCCTTTAATGTGCTTTAGATGATGAGATTTAATTTAGCAATTTGACTCAATAAAACGTTACACTTGTAGGGTCAATGGTCTGAAAATTTAATTCCAGAGACTTAATTGTATTACTTTGTGTGTGCTGATCAATAAAATCAATTTGATTGAGAGTGGAAAGTTGTGCTTTCTCTGTCTAAATAAATCCCGCAAAAATGACCACACTTTTTTTTTTCCAGTAGAAAGAGTTTTGTAATTATTCAGTTGATAGAATGCAAGGTTTATACAACTGTAGTGTTAATACTAGTTACATCAGTCATTTCAGTTGTTCAGTTAATAAAGATTATAAAATATTTTTTAAAAAATCTGTATTTTATCAAGAATTTAATTTTTTCTACTTTCAGTGCTCTTAAAACAGATTAGCTTGCACTTATAGATCAATAAAGCAATTAAAGTTCACTATTCTAGAATATATATCCTAAGTTCTGTATTTAACTTGCTTGAAAGATTATATGTATGAATGAAATACTTATTTCTGTTGAAATTAAAACATCATGGTATCTACTTAATGTTATGTTTAGATCAATAATATGCTGTAGTGGGATATAGTGTATAGTATAATAGTTCAATCCTGAGTCAATATTTGCTTATTTACCTTCTTCACAGTTTTCTCCTTTGTATCCAGAGTTGCAGGCACAAGAGCCCATAATACAAATCCCACGACCTCCACATTGAGGGTCAATGCACTGGGTGGTAGTCACATCACACTCCGTACCCTTCCAACCACTATAGCATAAACAACGTCCTTTGGAGTACTGCCCATTGCCACTACACAATACTGGGCAGGCTGCTGTGAAATAAAACATGACAGAAAACTTAACATAATTCTTTTCAATCAAGCTTTAGAGGCAGAGGTACATCTTGACAAGTTGTACTTCAAAATCTTTTTTCTTGCTTCTTAGTAACTACTTGTCTTTTTCTGCTTCTTATTTGAACTTATTTAAGAAAGAATTCAGTTTATATACCTCTTGAACAATCGGGGCCAAGAAAGCCAGCAAAACAATGGCATGATCCTGAAACACATTCTCCGTTTCCATGGCAATTTCGAGGGCATTCAACCACAGACTCTGAAATTACCAAAAGAAGAAAATTCTAACAGGCAATAATCAGTGCACCGAAATAAAGCAGCAAAAATCCCTCTTTATACAACCTATAAATGTCAGTAAATTAACATACTCTTAGAAATCATATACCTAATGTATGTATGCCTTCAAGAGAATAAATAAAAAACATTTAAATAAAAATCTAACATATTTGAATAAAATTTTACAATTTTACAAGGAATTACTAAAGAAAAAATAACAGGTTAAAGAAATGCAATTAAACATTTTCAAACTTAAATCCTACAACTTCCACTTTTAATAAAGTCACATTTTTACTACACTTCATACCTTGTGTCTGTAATTAACATGGAATTGCATTTCTTGTTTAATAGTTATGTACAGTTAGAAAGGCTATGTTAGAAAGTTTGAAGTTTTGAGATATTCAGAATATCAGTTCTTAAAGAATATTGTGAATACTCTACTTACCTATAACAATCGTATTAAAAGACACTTGCTCTGCATTTTTTCCATCGTTGTAAAAAGCCAGGTGCCAGATCCCAGCATCCAAATACTGAATGAACCCTGCTTCATGAAGGCTAACAGATCTTCTCTGTCTGCCTGCTCTCTCTGTTTCAAGAAGGTTACGCTGCTCCTTTGCAATCAATCGGCTCCCATCCAAAAGTTCTACAAAATCATACTGCAAGGGGGAAAAAAATGAATCACTTGCTACATTGCATATCAATGCATTAACGGAATTAATTTTCAAAACTATAGTTACTGGTGTATTGTTCTCAGTAGTAAGTATATCATTTTTAAAATATGTTGAAACTAGACTTTTTGTTGCCTTGAATCAATTTTGCTTTAACTGTTGACTAAATGTGTAATCTTATTTATTTATTTTATTTTATTTTTATTTATTTATTTGATTTGCCAATTGTTTACAAGATAATAAGTATAAATAACCTATATATAAATAATAATTTAAATATAATTTAAATTAAATTATATAATATATTATAAATTATATATTATATAATTAAATTATATAATATATAATTTAAATAAGTATAAATAACCTATATATAAATAATAATTTAAATATAAATAATAATTTAAAATAACCTTGACATATTCATTAAAAAAGTATACATTCATGGCTGAAGTGCATCATATTGATTTATATTTTGCTAAAGATAAACAACAATCTTCATATTTGGACACAACTAAGAATATAAAAATAGAGAACACATGGATGCAGTGGATTAATAGTTTGAACAATCCATTGTCAAAAACACGGTGACTGTATATTTCTGTCTTAAAATCACAAGAAAAAAAATATATAAATAAGAAAATTATTATTTTGATTTAAATACTATGTTGCTGTCAGAAGCATCTGTTTTTTAAAGAAACAAATTGGTTATCAAACTTTTCCTGCAACATCAACTTTTCCAAAATTATTACAGAAAATTAAACAAAGTTTCTTTGTTAATTATTAATATATTTCTGCAAATTGTGAAAAAAAGAGATGAAGCCTTTTAAAGCTTGAGAGTATGAAATCGCATTACTTTGCCTGGATATCATTTACACTTGTCTGCAGTATGAAAAAAAGGTAATACCGGTAATATAATGCATGCATAGAAATCAGAGATGGGCAAGAAGAGCAACAGTTCACTATCACTGTCCGGGTACATTTATAAATTTTATATATGTAGTACATTTATACATTATACATAGCAAGTAGGTTATGTTCATTTAAACTATGTGATTGAAAATAAAAATGAATATTGGAATATTAACAAAGCAATAAAAATTCAGAGGCATTGTTCTTTCACTTTCAGGATATGACTTGCACCCTGATTATTAACAATACACTAACTTATTCCAAAACCAACATGCATTTTTGTAATTTTATTTCTTATCTCCATGTCTGATCAAGTTTCAAGGAAAAGAAGGATATGTCATTGAAATTTGGCCCCTGTAATTATGATTTCATAAGAGGAAATTGATTTTAATCCGTAAAATCTTAAATGATTTCAGGCCATTGACTTGTATGCTACAAAAAATATTTCCCTTCCAAATATTGCATACTTTGGTCTTGCTTCTAACCAGGTAAGTGAAAGTGCTAACCAAATTTATACTTTTTAAGGAATAGGTATTTATTTATGAGTAAGATTTATAAGGCCACCTATTTTGTGGCATGTAGCTCTGACTGGCTAGCAACAGTAATAAAAAGACAAACAATAAAAATATTTTATGAAGGAGACTAGGCTCTACCTTTAAATAGCATTAAAATATGTTTGTTTCAAATACTGTTAACATGACAGGTAATTTTAAAAGAAGTTTTCCATATGAGCATCAGAGTGATGGAAAATAAATTGTCTTTAAAGAGGAATTATGTGTCAAGTAATTCTGAGCTACAGGCAGTTTGCTAATAGCTCAATGGGTGACCATGAAGGAAGATTGCTTGCTCTCTTAAATAGCATCCTGAGATTTTGCTCCCTATTCAGAACTGGCCACAAGCTGCAGCTTATTATGTATTTATCCTGACTGAAGAGGAAGTCTTAAATGCATGAGGGAAGTATTAGCCATCATTTATCATTTGGCTGATATCAGAGGGAAAAGGATTGTAAGTCCACTGACCACTAGAATTCATTAGTCAGGGACTTTTAAAGCTAACTACCTTGCTTAAAATAATTATTCTTTGAGTAGTTTTTCTTACAGTTTTCTGCACAGAAAGATTCTTTCTCAGTCTACTTATTCTCTTCACATCCGTTTGTCACAAGTAACATTCCCATTGTTTACTTCAGATGTTAGTTAGTTAGTTTAGCTCACTATGTCAGTGTCACTGCTGGGTTTCCTCATTGCTTTTTTGCCTGTATAATCTGTATAGCTCAGATTTTTAAATGAAAAGGCAGCAGACTTTAGAGGAGACACTTTGTAATGACAACCATTATATCTCAATACTCAATGAATGATTGACTGAGGCAGACTATTTACAGAATTTGTTTATAATTTATTTTATTTCTCTTTATATATGATTGTGAAATAGCACGAGCCTGATTAATGAGTACTAAAAAAACAACAATCCTGTTGACCCAGAAGTCACAGAGCTATTTAAAAAAATTCAAAAAGCATCAGTGAGCAGCATACATTGCTAAATTCTATATTAACATATTTTTTCCTTTCTGTTTTTCATCTGCCTTATTTCATCATAATAATTTTCCAGATCTTGGCAGCAACACTGGAAATAGCAACATGTATTAAGTTATAAGCATTCAATGACCATTTGAACCATCTTTTATTAAAATAAAATTTGGAAATCTTTGTTATAGAGTTAATGCTACTGGCTGCTATTCGCAGCAAATTATAATTCTTACAAATTCTGTATAGGTGTTGTGATTTAGACAAGTGCCTCTAATGATTTTATTCATTTTTATTTCAAAGTACCAAAGTCATCTGTTATTTTGTAGTTTCTTTAGATGAACATATTGACTGCCTTGTTGCAGTAAAACCAACTTTCTAAGAATTTGTCATACCAACTTGAAACTACCATTGACTATTTTTGAATGGTCAGCCACTATCAATTACTTCAGGCTGACTTATTTGTGATGTCTGGGAAAACAGAGCTGTGCAACAAAGATTGTTCTGACATAGTTGCACAAAATGTAAGAAGCAGTCATTCAGCTACATCTGGGAATATTGGTACAAACACACACACACACACACACACACACACACACAAATGCTGCAAAACATCACTTCCTACAGCAATATAGCAAAAGGAAAAGGAAAATAAAATAAATCATAAAGTTTTTTGAAGGATGAAATGAATAAACATACAATATAAGTGTTATTTATAAGAATGCTAATCTGATCTCAAGTTCCTTTGATTTTTACTAAGAAATAACTAATGCTTTTGTGAAAACATTTGTTTTAAAAAAGAAACAATTCTAAACTTAAGCAAGTTTATCTCATATTAAAGTATCATTAAAATGTGGCATTTATATCTTATCATATAATTTATCTTAAGATTTCTGAAAAAATGTATGTTATTTTTCTATGAACTAGAGAAATGTATATTTGTGTGTGTGAGAGCTCACGTTTGGGTGTTCTGAATTATCTTTTTAGAAGCATAAGTATATGCTGTAAAATTATAATTCAGAAGGGCCAATATACCTTGGCACAATATATGAAATAATTAAAAAACTATAAAATTTTGAAACCCAAAATAATAACAATTTCTAAAGGTGTGATTTCTGAATATTACTTTCATTAAAGACAACTCTTACTTGTGTATGTGAAGGTGGTAAACCTTTTCGGCCATATACTCCAATCAAAGCATCTTTCTGAAGGGAGATATTGAATTTTAGAAACTGTGGTTGATCAATAAAGACTTGTGACCGCCAGAAGATCCCAGGAGGAACATCTTGTGTTGCTCTTCGACCTATATCAAGTTCTCCAGAATCTATAGTGTTATTTTCCTGTGTAAATCCTACTTTACCTGAAAAATTTAAAAATATAAAGTATTAGCTTTTGTTCATTTTTTCAATAAGTTGTCAAACATTTAGACTAGTTTCAACTAAGCTGCTAATCACATCATTCAGTGAATGTTAAAGATTTGAAGGAATTACTAAAGAAAAAATAACAGGTTAAAGAAATGCAATTAAACATTTTCAAACTTAAATCCTACAACTTCCACTTTTAATAAAGTGTTATAGGATGCATTGTATTTTCATTTTGTTAACGATTAATCTAAATTTTTATTGATTTTTATAAACTATTTACGACAAATTTTGTTAGGCAAAGTATTAACTATATTTTTATAAAGGATTATATCTTTATAGACAAATTTATTCACATAGACACAAACACACAAAGAGAGACTAATTCTTATATAAACAGGTAAATAAAATAATTAGTAGAAATTGTAAGCCCTGTTTAACACTACAAACTTACAACAGTAAACATTTATATATTAAGAAAGCTTCACCTTCCATTTAATGTATTTATCTGAGCAAAAAAAATATCTCATTTTATCTACACTTATGTTGTGTAGACAAGCGCAACAAACATATTCCAGCAATCAGAAATAACATAGTACAAGATTATTCTAGCACAAGAAAGAACAGCACAAATAATAACTGTTATTCTGTAATCACAAAGCAGAACATTCTATGAGATGATCATGTAAAGTAGCAGTGTATGTAATATACACAAATATTGCATGTTAAAAGAATAAAAGATTAAGACAAAGCCTTTCCTTTGTAAAATTCTTAACTTCAGTATTGTGCTACATATGCAAATATTTCTTCAGATTGTGCAGATGTGCTTCTTTTGTGCTGTTTGCTATTTGAAATACTTCTATTCTCTTGTTTTTTATGTGTTTTATTTAATTAAACAGTCTCAAGTGCTGGTGAGAACAGTAGGAGGTGCCTTCATATAGCGTAAAACCAGTTTTGAATTAATCTAGAGTAGATACAAAACTATTCAGAGTAAAACATATATTTCTTTTCATAAGTCTGTTTTCTGTTTCCTGTACAGCATTAACAATATTTATAAATACGACTTAAAAGTGCATGTTACCATTATCTAATTAAAAAAAAATATCAGAAATAGCAAGAGATAATAGAGATAACAAAACATGTTTAGAACAGCAATGTCTTTATATATGCTTCTGTTTAAAAGTTCCTTAATTCAGGTAAACACCAGTCTCCTATACCAAATAAAAACTTACTGAGTGAAAAAGAAGATAAATAACAATGCTCCTAATTTTCAGTTTAGCATCATTATTAAACTTGAAAAATTTAGATCACAAATATCCAATTCATGCACTAATATAAATTTAGTATGAGACAAATCTTGGTGATTAAAAAAAAAGGCAATGGAATTCCTGTCATTTATTCGGCTAGTCAGTGCCGACAACAGGGCAATGGGCTGTTCTCTTAACAATCAAGAGAAGAAAATTTAAAATATTCCAAAGAAATAAATAATGAGATGGAGGTTGTGTTGATTAAATACCTATTTCATCAATCAATGTACACAGCCAGTAATTTGTTTCTTCAATGTGAAGTGGATTAAGAAAAAAAAAACCCACTTTGTAACTTTCACAGGCTGGAAATGGACGTTAATATAGATGATGGGGATTTAAAGACAGTGGTTCAAACCTTTTTCTTAAAAATAGCATGCTAAGCGGCAAAAACAAGATAAAAAGAAAATGTTTCTAGTTTGAATTCATGTCTTAAACTTTTCAAAGAATAACGCAGTGTTAACTCTCTTGTGTGTGTGTATGTGTATGTGTGTGTGTGTGTGTGTGTGTGTGTGTGTGTTTGTATGTTCAAGTTGGCCAAAATGTTCATTCCCAAAAGTTTATGGAACTGTTTACATGCAGAAAAGAATTAGGGAGGTCAAGTAGCCTTTCAAAGAGGAAAGGTAAGGCCCCTAACCATAGCAAGGTGCCAAGCCTCACACAAGTGGGAAAGAAGAAGGAAGGAAGAGCTAACAGATTTCAGCTGATTTTAATACTAAGCCTGCATTATTTTGGAAACTTTTAGAGGAACTTCCCACCCTCATTTATACTGAGTTAATTAAAGCGAAGTCTCTTTGAAATACTGAAATGTTTCTTCTCAGGTTTCTTGCCACCTGGATTAATTATTCTTTAGAAATAAAGAATGATTGAAGCAGGAGGAGAATAGAATGGAAAGCAGAGGACAGAAGGAAAAACTGGGTATCCTGTGAGAAGAGAACTATGGGGTACTGTGCTACACACTAGTAGCTTTATATCATATTGATACAAAATGTAAATCAGTATTGATGGCTATTGGAAATTAGCACATATTCCAGCAATGACACCTATAGGAATTTGCAGCAAAGTAGAGATTTTTCCTCCCATTTCTATTATTAGTAGAACAGTGCAGGCCACTCAGAACAGTCCAGTGGGACTTCTGAAATATTTCTTGTGAAATATTTCACAAGAAGAGTTCTCCACTCCGCTACTCGTTGTAGAATACCTTATGACACCAGACTTGAAATTCTAGAACTAGAAAACCTTGAATTACGCCGTCTTTGGTCTGACTTAAGCATGGTATATAAAATCATACATTGCAATGTCCTACCTGTCAATGAATACTTCAGCTTCAACCATAACAACACAAGAGCACACAATAGATACAAACTCAAAGTAAACCGCACCAAACTTGATTGCAGGAAATACGACTTCAGCAATAGAGTGGTCAATGTCTGGAATACTCTACCCGACTCTGTAGTTTCTTCCCCAAACCCCAAAAACTTTAACCTTAGACTGTCTACTATTGACCTCACCCCTTTCCTAAGAGGCCTGTAGGGGGCGTGCATAAGCGCACCAACGTGCCTACCGTCCCTGTCCTATTGTTTCTCTTATTCTTTTATTTTTCTTATATGTACCCATTTCATGTTTTCACAACTATGTATACATTTATGCTTATTATCTTGTAAACAATTGGCAAATCAAATAAATAAATAAATAAATAAATAAATATAACACATTGGTTTTAGGTTTATACCTCTAACAGATTTGTATAGGTTTTCAATAGTTCGATTTGGAGGTTGACTGGAATCATCAGTATGCTGCTATTATTGAAAATGAATGCATGCTGTTATGAATTATTTAGTTAGAATCTAGGACTGATTCTAGAACAGAAAGAAATAACTGACACACCAAAGCAGAGGTTAAGAGAATCAAGACATTATGGCTTATAGGAAGAAAAAATTCTAAGAGGAAAAATAATATAAAGCTTTGAGGAAAAGGTAATGAAAAGATGTAAAAAACATTCATAAACCTTTCAATTTAAGTTCATTTCACTGAATTTGGCAAACTGTAACTTTTCAGTGCAGACAAAAATTTAAAATTTAACATAATATATTTTTATTGTTCCTTGAAGATGCTGTCAGTTACAGATAGTTTTTTGGAGAAATAATTGAAAATAATAAAGGCATCTATATACAGACTAAATTTATTTGTTATATTAAATATACAGAAGAATAAATACTAAACACAATTTTTTTCCATGAAGTCTGTGATGATTTTACTTGGAACAGACCAAGTTTGGAATTGTCAAATTACTAAGAAAGGAAAAACAAGAGAGGGGGAATTGTGAGTGAAGTCTTGGAGAAGTAGCATATGGCCCAATAATGCCCCCGTTCACATACAAGAATTCCATGCCTGCTTAAACTGCATTGTCATCTAATGAAGGATACTAGTGTTATTCCGCAGATCTGTGATTTTATTTACTTATTCTGAACAGAAAGTGTGGTAATTGTGATATATAGTTATTTCAGGAATAATTGTACAATATTCTCTATCTATCTATCTATCTATCTATCTATCTATCTATCTATCTATCTATCTATCTATCTATCTATCTCAATGCTTCATTCGCAAAAGGAAATAATTTTCCCTACAATGCAACAAAGTCAAAACAAATGATTGAAATTTAAATAAATAGAAAATGAATATATATTTTAAGATTGATCAAGACATTACAAAATGAATAACACTTGCTACCAGATAGGGGTCCCCAACTGTGTCCTATTAGCAACTGGGCTGCACAGTTGTAAATGAGCTGCCAGCAAGTGAACAAAGCTTCACCTGTATTTGCAGCTGCTCCCCTGTGGCAGCATCACTGTCTCAGCTCATCGGGCATTAGATTTTTTATTGTAGCACAAATCCCAATGTAAACTGTAAAGGACTTAGATTGCACACTGTTCCCTCCCGGTCTGTGGAAAAATTTTCTTCCACGAAACAAAGTCCCTGGTGCCAAAAAGATTGGTGACTGCTGCTACAGGACACTATTTAATATAATCATGACCAGTATTTAAAAAGTAACATTAGTTTTAGAGTCAATCAGTGGCACATTGTACAATGTTTACTGAACACCCAACAATTCTGAAATATCTAGGTTGATGTTATTTATATTCTAAAACATTTATGTGATGGCTATTTCTATACTCCTCTAGATCTACTTTCCTATGAAAATTAGACTATTTCTAGTTTTCTTCTTAGAAAAACTGACAGAAACAACCATAAAGATTTTCTTTATATATTAGCATTAAAGTATAATTTCGTGATCAGTTGGCAAAATACCAAGAGTGTCACAATCAGTGTGTGCGTGTATCACAAGGAATTTCAAATAGTCCACCCTTGTAAACTTTGTTCTACATTACCAAATCACAGAAAAATGAGGGTAAATCTGAAAACCAATGCCAATCTCTGTATAATAACCAGCATCCTGAACCAGAAAAATCCTTCTGCATGAAATACGCTAATAATCCATTATTCACTTCTAGGTGCTGCTTTGGTAGAATATTTCATTTTCTTTAAAATGAACCTCATTGTGCTAGGCATTCCCAATCTTATTAGATAAGTAGCTCTCTTATCTCAGCCTATCTATTAATGAATGCAGTCTTCCCGTGCTCACTCCTAAGGTACTGCTGATGGCAAAGGGTAAGTGCTATTCTTACAATATC